CCGAGTACAGATGAATATTAGCAAAGAGGACTGTGCACGGGGACCATAATCAACTGATTGCAGGCTCATATCAAACCCTACAGTGAGTGCTAAGTGACAAGCTGCATTTGGTGAAAGGCTTTCGAGTGGCAGGTAAGCTGTTGTACTTCAGTGACATATCTGTGTTTGATGGCAGACTTTACATCAGAATGTGACTTATCTTAGTCTATGAATGGCCTGCCAATTTTATTTCCCACTTTGGTCCCCACCTTGATCTGCACTGTGCACTTGTTTCAGTCACAGTTTTGTTAAGCTCAAAAGCTGGTCTAGGCTAAAGAAGTGCAAAACAAACATCACCTAAGAGCTCTTTGAAAAGGGGAAAGACCCAGTGATCACGATCACACAAGAGAATCTAAGACTGCTAAGGAAGAGAAAGTTGTTACATATGGGTATATTGCAACATGTGATTCATATTTTCCAAGCCTGCTTTTTATAATATATGATAGCAAACAATCCAATGAAGTAAACAAACTTCCAAAACTGCTTCACCACATGAAGACCAAACACCCTGCATTATCAGACAAGTCACTGAGTTTATCAAAGAAAAACTAAGTTAACATGAGGAAGTAACCACCAACTCAAACATATAAACACTGAAAGCATTATTCCTAATGGCTAAGTGCATTACTAAAGCTAAGATGTCCTTTACTATCCACGAAAAGTTGATGTGGCCTGCTGCTAAGGACAACGGTGAACTTTTAGAAGAAGCTACAGTACAAAAGGTAGCATATGTGTCCCTTTCAGCCAGCACCGTAACTACACAAACTGATGACATAGCCAGCAGTATTGAGGCACAGTTGTTAAAAGAGGACTGATGAGCACCTGTGGTACATACTCCAGATGAGGACTGGACCAGGAAACAATGTTTGTTTGACAAGGAAACAATGTTTGTTTCTGTATGATACATTTTTCAGAAAGATGTGCATGTGGATATGTGGGTAAGTAAGGGAAGGGGAATTTAAAGGCCAAGACATGGTAAATACAGGTATCTACTCCCTAAGATGAATAGAAATAGTGTACATGGCAAATGTATTAATAAAATGGGTCAATACTTATCAAGTTTTGAATTAATATGCTGAAATTCGATTTACTTCTGCATCTTGTCTTGTGGTCATGAATTTCTTTATTTTTTCCTCAAGATGTCTTTATTTCTCCTTCAACTTTGAAGGATGCCGTTGCTGGACATAGGAATCTAGATTGGCAGTTATTTTCTTTCAGAGATTGTAGTATATCATTCTGTGCTTTCCTTCATGGTTTCTGCCAAGAAGTCTGCCATTATTCTGAGGAATTCATCTGTAATAAATGGCCTCGCGTTTCTCTCTTACAGCTTTCATTATTCTTTCCTTATTCTTTACTCTTGACATTTTGAGGCATTTTCTGGTCATGCTTCCTTGGAGGCTAAATGCCTTCTGTACCTGCATGTCTATATCTTTCTAGCAGTTCTAGAAGTTTTCTGTAATTGCTTCATAAAAATATTGTATCCCATTTGTCTTAACTTTGGCACCCTCTTCTATACCAGAATGTTGTAAGGGCAGTCTTTTATCCATGTATTAGAGTTCTTAGTTGTTTAGTCCATGATTTCTTTATATTTTTCTTATTAGTGTCTCCATATAATAACAATTCTTCAACCTTATCTGTAAGCCTTGAAGTTCTGTCCTCCACTTGGTCTCAACTACTGGTGAGGCTTTTAACTGAATTTATTTATTTATTTATTTATTTATTTTTTTTTAATGTTTTGTTTATTGATTTGGTACAGGCCTAGCTACACAGCTCAGACTCACAGTGATCCTCCTGTCTTAGCCTCCCCATTACTGGGATTACAGGCATGCACCACCATACCTGGTTTTGGTGGCCAGCTCAGCATGCCCAGGGGTGGGGCTGGTATGGCATGTGGTACTGGAGATTGAATCCGGGTCCTTGCACTTGCCAGGCAGGCGCTTAAGCCATCTCACTCACCAGCCCTGAACATATTATTTAAGTGAGCTTTTAATTTCCAGAATTTCTGTTTGGTTCTCCTTCAGAATCTCTACCCTTTGCTCCTTCAGTCTGTACTGTCTCTCAATTCATTCAGCTGTTTCCTATCTCCAACCAGGTTATGGCCTGCAAGCTCCTGAGCTGTACCACTTGTTCCAGAAGCCCTGTCCCTACACCCAGGAGTGTGCCAAATATCCACATAGAAGTATGTCCCTAATCATGTTGGTGGATTTTAAAGCAAACAGGCCACTGAGCTCTGTGCTGGAAGTGGGCAGCAAGGGGAGGCAAGTGATGCCCTGCACTCAGTATCAGAACTGTCAGGGCCTCAGGAACACACATGGCTTGGGTTCAACTAGTCACCACAGAGAGGTCCTGCCACCCACAGTCCTCCACAACCTGAGCTCCCAGCTACTGAAACTTCTCAGGACACCCACAACTAGCCATCCCCTTGATAACTGTCTCTTGTGGCCATGTCTCAGCCGTCACTGTGGCATAGTCACCCCAGGGACCCTGAAATGTGGTTTTTCTGTGACTTTTGGTTCCTGGCATAGCTTAGTATTAAACAGTAAACCCATTCTCAAAATGGCTCCTGCTTATACTAGTTTTAAATGTGGTGTACACCACTGTGGATTTCTTCCTCAAAGGTATCCTGTCATGCAAGAAAAGTCACTTTCAGATTACAACCTTACTAGGTTTTTATAGCTTACAATAATCATGAGGTGTTCCTGAGGTAGCACCGCCAGCCCTTGTTTAGCACAAAGCCCAGAGGGCCTGTCCAGCCTTACTGCGTCCTTGCAGTTACTTTTATAAACATTACAGACGGCTTCATTCTTTTCTCTGCGTTGTTATCTGTTATTCTGGTTTCTGGCTTTCCTACTGGCTCTTTCTTTCTTCTTGGAGCACTTCTTCTGTTGTTCCAGATTAAGAAGTTGTTTTCTAGGTTTCTTCATTCCAAGTCCTGGAGAAACTGTGATCTGCAGCCTCTGCCATCTGATGCCCTTTCCAGGTGCTTCAACTAATCTCTAAATTTCTCATAATATTTAATCCATGTAAATGCCATGAATATAGTTATATTGTATTTAGAAAAAAATGACAAGAAAAAAGTCTGTACATGTCTAATACAGATGCATCTTTTCCAATTATGCTGGCAAGGTTTTACTGCATCCAGGAATGTGGAATGCACAGATACAAAAGACCAACTGTACACTTAAACTAAAAATACCCATGTACTCATGTAAGTACACATGTAATAATGTCATTCTTAATTAGGCAAACAAAACATAATCCCAGTGGCAATGCTTATACACACTTTTATGGCTGGCCCTGCACTTCACTTACTCTCCTAAGGAAGATTCTTGCACATAAGGATATCACGGTTGCCCTTTCATGTGAGAATCTGTACTTCCAAAGTAAACCATCAGTGATGAAATGAATAAATATAAAGTGAAAAAAAAAAAGCAAAAGCAAAACAAGAACTACTCTCAGAATAATGGATATGTGACCCAGCACAAATAAAACTCTTAAAAATTAGACTTTCAGAATACCAATAGAAATGAAAATTAAATATTTTTAAGACATCCACTAATATTATTAAGAATGTGATAAATAGTCTTTCACTATGGCATATGTTCCTGTTATTCTATATTAAACGTATTATATTGTTTATATAAATACTTCGAATACAAAATTACCCTTAGATAGCTATAGTATTAAATCAAAGGACCTAAAATTATAAATTTATTTTAAAAAAAACTTAATGACACACAAATGGTATTCTATTAATATACTGTCAAGTTGCATTTTTAAAATGAAAAATTCAAAGAGAAAAGTAAAACAAAATGAAATTGAATAAATGTTCTTCTCAAAAAGGATTAGAATTCATTGAACACTTTTTTGTGCAGGGTCTCACTACATAGCTCAGACTTGTAGAAATCCTCCTGTTTTCTGTCTCCCTAGAGCTGGGGTTACAGGCTTACGCCACCACGCCTACACTCTATCACCAGCTCAGTGCGCCCGTGGGCGGGGCCAGCCCTGCGCATGGCCCAGGATCAAACCCTTGCCCCTGAGCTATCTCACCGGCTCTAATACATATATGTTTTTGTTTTTGTTTTTTTAAATTAGGACGGAGTCTGCAGGTCTGCAGAGTTTCATTATGTAGCTCAGACTCGTAGTGATCATCCTCTTTTCAGCCTCCCAAGTGCTGGGATTACAGGCGCGTACCACAATGCCCAGTTTCAATAGCCGTCTCGGTGCACCCCAGGGAGTGTGGCCGGCACAACACACAAGGTATAGAATTCTAGCCACTGTGCTCTGCCTAAGCAGGCGCGTTAGTCCACTGAGCTATCTGGCTGGCCCTTAGAATACATGTTTTTAATCAGTCAGTGTATAAAAGAAATTGTTGAGGACTACAAAAACTGTTTTGTTAATCATACCGGAGATAAAACTCGGGACCTTGCGCTTGCCGGGCAGGTGCTTATGCCCCTGAGCTATCTCCCTGGCCCTTGCAAAATCTATTTTATCAGTTATATTCAGAAAAAAATTCATGAAAGTTAATATATGAAATAATTGACTAAAACATTAGAATTGTATTTGTAACATATGCCAATCTTCTGTGTCCAAATTATATCCCAGGACTTGTTTTGTTTTGTTTTTATAAATCTACTACAAAGACGGCATGGAGCTCAAGAATTCAAAAGAAACAAAATGGAAAGTCTAACAAATGAGGAAGGGCTTCTATAACAAATGTTAGCACTAATATGCTTTTTCAGAAACAGCATAAAATTTCCAAGAAAAGTTTCTCCCTTATTCCCAACTTCATCATTATCTTAATTATATTAATTTGCTATAATCTAATAAACATACCCATGTCTACTGATTGCAGTCTAGTAGTTCTTAACACAAAAGAAAAACCAGCTATAATATTTGTAGATAACAAAATAAATAAGCACAGCTAAAGTTAGAAGCCAAACTATCTTACTGATACCTACCTTCTGGAAATGCCATTAGTGAAACACTTGTGGCTGCAGGATTTAGAGGAGAGGGGAGATGAAGTTGGAGATAAGTTGAGCGGTGCGATCAAACTGTTGATGATCTCAGTCAGCTGTGCGCTCTGCAAGGCAACAACCCACGTCACGCTGCTGCCAGCCAAGCAGTGTGTGCTGTCTCTCCGACCTATAGGCGCCATACAACGCCTGATGCCTCTTAAAGCAGACACATGAGTAGACTGCATAGATATTTTAATCTATCAATATGATTGACATCACACTGATTTTTCCATTTATTACTAACCTTTATTTTCAAGTAGCCACCATTTGCCATATTCTTTTTAGATGATTTCTTTATCTACCAGTCCCATCTTCCAGAATTATCTGGAACCAATTATGAACATCTACATATTTCCTTTAAGATGACAAAATTAGTAATAAAAAAATCTTAGCTATTTTTATATGTACCTATTGATGTTACTATTAATGATAAGTACAGATGAAGAAATTACAGAAAAAGAGAAATTAAGTGGATGAGCGAGGGATATAAGATTGGGAAGCAACAGACCTAGGATCCAAATTCAGGCCTAATTTTACCACACTGTTTCTCAGTATTTTTCCACCTCAAAAAATTTGACTTCTATTAAGAAAAAGAGTACTCAAGACATTCACTGACCTTTACCCCAAGCTTAAATCCATGTGAAATTATTAAATTACTCTCAAAACAATCACAATATTTTAGTAAAGTCACATAAGTGGAAACTGTGTACTTCTACAAAAAAAAAATGTGTATTTCTTTAAACACATAACCCGGGCTCATGGTAGAAAAATGAAAAAATATATAAAAATTTTAAAAATGAAAAGAATACCTTGCACTTTGGAAGCCTGAGACAAGAGGATCCCAAATTTGAGCGCAGCCTGCGAAACAGCGACTTAACAAGACTTGTCTCAAAATTAAGATCAGGGGTTTTAGGGGAGGGAATGCTAGGGGCTGGGAGGTAGCTCAGCATGAAAGCTCTGGGCTTAATCCTTAGTACTGGAAAAAAGGTGTCACTTATACACATATGACAAAGTGAACTATTGTCAATCTTGATATATATCCCTCTTTGCTGAGTATATATAAGCATGACCGCAAGCATAATATATATGCATGAGTTCTTTTAAAAATTATGCACATAAATTGTCTAAAACCTGTTTTTCTCCCTTGATATAATGTGATTTTGTTTTGCAAATTATATGCAGACCTGTTATACAATGTTCATTAACTGCAAAATATTAGATCTACAGAAGCCTGCTAAATAATTATTTTTACAGTCATTTGCATAAAACTAATAACATTTTATCAGAAATAATGAGATAAAGAATATGATATAACCTAGCCTAATATCTGAGTCCCTAAAAATTTCTTTCATGAAAAAGATCCTGCACTGTTTTCATCATTTTCTTAAAAAAGTACACAGTTAATGAGTTCATTTTGAAAATTGTTGCACAGATAATTTCCCAATTAAAATTCATTTCCAAATTCATCAGTACCAATAAGTTCTTTATCTACTTTTCAAGTACAAGTTTAGTCATTCAATTAAATTAATGAAGTAAATCATTTTCCAGGCTGCAATATAAAACACTACTTTCATTGTTCTGTCTTCAAATACATCATCAAAAGCTAGTAAGCCACTGACTTCACCAGTCAAGTGTGTGTGATAACCGCCTCATAAGGACAGCATGGAGACAATGAGCTTTACCTTTCAGAGACATAAACTGAATTCTAAAAAGAAAAACTAATCAACTTTAAGTAAAAAAAAAAGGTAATGTGTATCCATGGCAAGCTTTTTAATGTAAATACACTAGAAGTGAAATTTATTTTAAATTATCTGAAGTACTAAAATAAGGCATCTTTTTAATTTATGAAGAAAATATATCACAATACAAGTAGTAATCTTATGAATCAGTTATCTTTTAAAAGTACTTACAGTATACAACTCAACTGAACATTTATGGTTTAATTGCCACTTCTAACTAATCAAGTCAAAAGACTGTCAATAAAGGTTTATCTTAAATTACCTTAACAAAAACATGCATTACATTGGGCTTGCTACCCCCAACATTTTAATTTTAAAAATTTCCCTTAAAAAAGTAGTTGTAAACAACTTAATTTTTTAAAAAATGACCCATAAAGTATTACTATCACATTTAAGAAAACAAGCTGTGCACAATTTATTAATGCCCTCCACAAGTGATTGTTGCTGATCGTTTTTATTTTCCTCTAAACTGGGCACAAGGGCACATGCCTGTAATCTCAGCACTCAGGAGGCAGGAGGAGTGCCCTGAGTTTGAGGCCAACCTGTGCTGCACTGTGAGCTCAAGCCGGGCAAGGCTACCTAGTGAGTTCAAGGTCAGCCTGAACTGCACAGTGAGACCCTGTCTCAGAAAAACAAAAGTCATCAAAGTCAGGAGATTTCCACTCAGATTTCACAACAAAGCCTTGCAGTCAAGGCAAAAATATATGACAAGGTCACCATCTGAAGGCAGTGTGTAAATAATTTTCCTCTATTCTTATGTGAAACTATTACTTTTGGGCTCACAACTCCTTGCTCCTTATTATTATGGTTTAGATCTACAAAGGCTCCCAAGAGTCTCAGGTTCAGAGGTGGTGATATATATCCCTCTGATATATATCAGAGAAAGCAGGTTCCTGGGGGTATAATATAAGGGTGAAAGCAGGTTCCTGGGGGTATAATATAAGGGTGAGAAAGAGAAAGCAGAGAAAGCAGGTTCCTGGGGGTATAATATAAGGGTGTATTCTCATCTGCAGCTTCTCCCCTTCTCCTCTGCTTCCTGGCTGCCATCACGTGGGAAAATTCCTTCCACAATTCTCCGCTATGCCATTTTTGCTCTGAAGCTAATTGACAAGAGACTGACCCAGAACAAACCTCTCCTCCACTATGCTGAGAGCATGAAGTACTGTACTTTGTTCTAGTACAGGGAAAGCTGATAGATACAGAAAACTGGTACTATAAATGAGAGTGTTGCGGTAACTATTCCTGACCATGTGGTTTAGAAGACTTTGCTTTTCAGGAGGTGTTTCAAAGTGTTTGGAGAGTAGGCTACAGCTATGATGCTGTAAGTAGTGTTTGGTGTATGAAACTGGTTAGAAATCAAAAGACCAGAATACAGATGGGAGTGTGGGCAGTAAAGGTTAGACCCACGAGACTTCAGTTGGGAACAAGGATTCCATTGGCAACTCTACTAAACACCATGTGTGTTGCACTGTGCCAGAAAATTGGTTTGCATTCTGCTCATGACCCGAGACTGTGGCGAAACGAGAATAAGAGAAGCAGTTAATATGGTATAAGAAATTTCCAGGCAACTCAGTGTTCAAGTTATGACAGGGTTACTACTAGATGATTTATCCATAAATATAGTAAGAACCAAGAGAAAAGATGGAATTAAATGATATGATAATTTTGCAGTTTTGTTACAAGAGCCTGGAAATTTGATACAAAGAACAGGGTTTCTGAAAAGATCAATACTGAGAGAGTGAAGTATTTTGTACAGGGAGGACAAAAAAAAAAAAAAAAGAACTCTTGAGCGCATCTCAGAAATTAACAAGACCCTATCCATCATAAGATCAAGGGCTCAAGACTGCAAATCTTTCACTTGAGATTTCCTGGGACACCTGCTCACTCAGGGCCACCTAGGAAAATGTATCCCCAATTTCAACTGTCTAGAAACTCGGAAGCTGCTGCAGCCCTGATCCAAGGGAGTCCAGCTACTACCCATGTTAGCAGCCGACCCTTATAGAGCTGGTTTTTCAGGTATTCAGAATGCAAGAGTCATTGAAGTCAGGAGATTCCTACCCAGATTTCACAACAAAGCCTTGCAGTCAAGGCAAAAATGTATGACAAGGTCACCATCTGAAGGCAGTGTGTGAAGCTGTGAGAGTAAAGGTAAAGGTGTAGTACAGACCCCAGGAAGTTTGAGGTACCAGCAACATGGAACATCCGTGGAAATCCACAAGCAGTGAGTGGACCCAGCCCAAAACAGAGACCATTTATGGGCTACAAGTGGTAATGCTATAGAACTGGGGCTGCCCAAGCCCTTTAGAGACCAGATCTTTTGACAACCTTCCCTAGGGTACTGGATATGCAACTACAGGATTTAATGTTTGCCCCGCTGGGTTTGGTCCTACTCTCGCCTGATTTCTTTTATACTCTTATTTCTCCCTTTTGGATTTTGTGTTGTATGTGGGAATGTGTCAGTGTATGTTGGAAGTGTTTATCTTGTACCATTATATGATAGATAGCATTGTTAAACTTTCTCTTTGATGTCTTCAGGGGCTCACAGCTAAGGGTATGCCTTGAGTCTGAGAGAGCTTGGATTTGTAATCCAAGTAAGTAATGCTGAAACCATTCAGACCTTGGCATTCTTAGATATAAGACTTTTGGAAGTAGAATATTATCATTTAGATCTAAATGAACCCCAAATTCTCCTGTGTTGTGGAAGTGACTAAATTGTGGGGGCACTATATTCATCAATGGATTCTTCCATTGACAAGTTTAGTGCCTGAATGTGGTATTAGGAAGTGGAGACTAGCTTGAAGTAAGTCACTGGGGTTGTGACCAGCATGGGTGTATTTTTGGCCCTGTTTGTCCCTGGGCTCTGAATCCTGGCTGCCATACTTTGAGTAACTATTTTCTCTGTGGTTTCCCTCTGCCAGCCATTCTACCCTGGAGCCCACAGACCAGTAAATGGAGCCAGGAGCCAAAATAAACTCTCCTCCTTTAAATTATGGCTGTCAGATACTTCAGATACTATGTTCAGCGATGGAAAAGGGACTATGCCATGTGATTTGTGCAGAAGTCCTCATTATGCCTAGAAGGGTCTCATGCTGCTTAATGGTCTGCTGTCACTGTCCTTAAATTCTTAATAAATTAAGGTGTCTGCAGTTGCATTTTGCACTGTACAAATCTGATGCTGTCTAAGGTCCAACAAAATTGTTGAAACCAAGAAGAAAAAAACAAAGTACAAAAAGTCTTTTCAACATGAAAACTGTAGAATAGCCTGTACTAGCTATTAATTTCAGCTGGGTGTAGTAGCATATGTGGCAATTCCAATATTTTGGGAAGCTGGATGGACCAAAAGTTTAAGCCTATCCTGGGCAATTTAGTATCTTAGCAACACCTTGTCTTAAAATAAAAAGTAAGAATAAAGGGCTGAGGATGTAGGTCAGTTAGAAGGGTCAGTTCGATTTGCAGTGGGAGAGGAGAAAAGGAATGAGGAGGAGTAAGAAGAGGAGAAAGGGGAGGGAGCGGGAAGACAAAGGAGCAGAACTAATTCATCAGCTTGCTTTCCAATAAATAACTAATGGCCAACAAGTGGAGAAAGTAGGTCTGACTGAGAAAGCAAATACATCATTCTAGCGTATGAAGCAACTAAAGTGAGACTGAAAGGGGCTGGCCCTTTGGGATGAGGGGCAGAGAGTAAGCGGGGAAGGAAGAATACAAGCATCACCTAGACTGATCTGTAATACCACTTATTTGTCAGAGTACATCCCAACTAATTACTGAAGAATTACTTTTTTTAATTTCATTTTTGAAGAATTACTTTAAAATTATTTAAGTTAATATGCAAGTTATTGTGACATATCCATTAGGAGATAATTCATTTATACTAGGGTTGGAAAATTACTGAATAACTTTCTACATTCCAAAATATTCATGAAAGCATTTTGATTATATATGAAAAGAAAACTCAAAGCAATTGTAACTCTACCAAATATGAGGATTTACACAGTGTTTTGGTTTACCAGGAATCTAGCACTAAATTATTTAGCAGCTTACATTAGAAAAATTAGATGTAGACAAGTTTGAATCCATATTATTTCCCAGGATACAAGGTAATCATGCAGCTGGGGTCAGGACTGACTATACTCTGGCAGTGTCTCCGTAGTTGCAAAGGAAACACATTGATAGATATAGATACAGATACTGTTAAATAATTCTACTTATAGAGTCATCCATAATAGGATTTACAGATAGGCAAGGATCTAGAATTCAAGTGATCTATTAGGGGTTTCTTTGATTTTCTATTCTATTTTTATGATGAAATTCATATTCCTTTATTACTTTTTACTGAAAGTTTCAATTGGTCATTTTTTTTTTTTTTTTAATTTAAGACACGTTGTTAGCTCGGACTCAGTGATCCTCTTGTTTACAGCCTCCCAAGCGCTGGGATTACAGGTGCACAACACCACACCTATTCTCAGTCGCCATCTCAGTGCCTCCTGAGGACAGACAGGGCTGGCACCGCAGGCAAGGGAATGGAACTCCAGGTCCTTGTATCTGCCTAAGCAGGCACTTTAATTTGCTGAACTATTTGGCTGGCCATGGTCAAACAGATTAGGCACTGTTTTTTCCTACCATTCTTTCCTCCTGAAAAAAGTCCAATGATGAGCAGGGTTTTTTTTTGTTTTTGTTTTTGGTGGAACCGGCAATTGAACTCAGGACCTTGCACTTGCCATCTCCCCGACCCCAGATGAGCAGTTTTGTTCGGAAAGAATTTTCTAACCCTAGTATAAATGAATTATATCCTAATGGATATGTAACAATAATGTGCATATTGATTTAAATAATTTTAATTGTATCAACAATAGAGGTAAACCACATACATATACTAAGTGTTTTATTGTATGCAGTGTCAAGTAGCCAATTTTATTACCCATATCAAAGCCAAATACACACATGATATTTATTTGAATATATAAAATCAGTAAAATGTCATTTTACAACACATACACTTTACTCTGATTTTACCTGTTTTTCTATGTTTCGAAGAAGAAGTGTTGGGCTGCTCGGTGACATTTCAAAATCTTGTTCTGGTAAAGGCTCCTGATTCCTCTGGGGAACCTGAAGATTCTCTGTGGTGTTTAATGAAGCTGCTTGCTCTGCAAACTTTATTTGTTTTTTCAATATGTCTTTTGGAAGCTTACTTTCTTCTAGGATCACTATCCCCTAGATAAATAGCAACAAAAGGGTTGAATTGATAGCAAATTGATTACTAAATCACCTTTAATGCTTCAGTGTACATGAAATTGTGCATCCTAAGATCCCTTGTAAAAAATTAAAACACACACTCTTACTTAATGTCACAAAATGGCTAATTTAAGACATGTGGTTAAAATAACACTGGCTGGTGGGTTGGGCTTGTACTTCATTATCATAATTTATGCATATGCAAGTTTCTTTCTATTGGTTTTCAGCATTAGCATTAAAACTATGACATATTCAGAATACAATTAAAGGCTCATACTCAGAATAAGGGCATTTTGTACTAAAATTTGGAATATTTCTTGTTATAATCCTTTGATCTTTTGCTTACAAGTATTTCTACTTGAGTTCTGTATTGAAAATGAACTTAATAAATCAAAATATTAACCTACTAACATCCAAATACCAATCTAACACTATGCTAACTCCCTTTAGAGCGTTGCTGTGAGCTGGACCCTGCTGCTACCAGCCAGCAACCACAGGCAGGAACACACCAGTGAAAAACAGATCTTGCTGCATATAGGGGAGCTATGCTAGTGGTAAAGACAGGCTATCAATTTTGATAGAGTATTTTCTAGAATGTAAAGAACCCAAAGAGTGAGAAGGCCTCTACAGGCCTCTGTATTCCTTTGTACTCTCACACACTTACTCCTTAGCTCATTTGCTCTACGTTTGCTCATATTCCTCAGCTTTCTCCTCCCAATGGTTCACAACCCTAGGTACTTAGAGACAATAGGAGTAGAAAAGAAAGAGGAAAAAGGAGTGTATGAACAAGATTTTAACTGTGTCATGGTAAGTTCTCATAAAACTTCCTTGCACTCTACCCATTGTACTACCCTCCTTTCAAAGGGGGTTAAAAAGATATACAGTGGCATTCATGTATGCCACATATAAAACAACTAATAAGGTCCTATAGCTAGTTAAAAGAATAAAATATTAAGCTATTAATGTGGCTAAAATAAGTTTTGAATGGAGATACTTAAAAGTATTAATATAGGTTAATATAATTAACATCAGAATTGAATAAATTAAATCACTGATGTGGGCCAGCATATATCATGTTTAAGTCCAATTTACAAGGAGGAAACTACCTATACATAATAATGTGTCATTTATGCACTCTAGTTTACACTATATAGACTACATACTGTATTTCTCAAAAATCTACATTTACAGTAATGCTGACATTTCCAAAGAGAAAAGGATCCATTGTTGATCTTACTAACTTTTTTTCTTAGAATATACAAGTATAATCATCAAAAAAAAAAAATCTGAGGAAACATATTTAAAAGAAGTTATTTCATTTGGCATTTTAAAAATTAAAGTAGATATGATAGAGTATGCATCTCAAAAAACAGTGACGGTATCCATTCAAAGCTTCTACAAGTCTTTCATTAAGTATTTTTTTTAAATAAATATCTGCATGTAATAGAAACACAAGAGTTCATCATATCAATTTAATTGTAATTCCCTTAGGATTTGATTAAAGTTTATATTATTTGCTAGTGTGCTGCAGATTAGATACTTATTTCATGACCCATATTTATGATATTGCTTCCATGTAAAAATCTATCCTGGATTTCAAAAGTCTACTATCCAAACCTCTGTGATACTGCCTTTTCATAAATAAAGAACCAACTCATGTTTAGCTCAGTCAAGAAAGATTTTTTTTTTAAGAAAGATGTTTTAAAAGTTCTGCCACGAAGACATTTACAGCCCACTTTATAATCTATTTTTTGCCTTAAAGTGTCACCCCAGCCCAATCTCTTAGCATACAAGACGAGTGGCCTGTGAACTGCCATTTCCTTCCCCATGACAATCCAAAAACTAAAGAAATGGATGAAGATTATATCTTCTGTGGAAACAGAGTAAGGTGTTTGTTTTGTTTTTTAAAGCTGGAAAATAATTATCTTGTGGGGGTACTGGGAATCAAACTCAGGACCTTGTGCTTGCCAGGCAGTTGCTATGCTGCTGAGCTATATCCTCAGCCAAGAAAAGAATTGTATATTTCTAGATACTAAGATATTTGAGATACTATAATATTCTAGATATTATAATACTATAATAGAAAAAAGGTACATAACAAAGATTTCAATTTTTTTAGACAAATGAGACATGTACAGTAGTGGAGGTAAGTGAAAACTCTTAAGGTAAAATGAAAGCAAATCACCTGATCCAGAGACGACACCTAGTTTCCAGTAACACTGGAGAGACAGCCTGAGCCCATCCCGTATCCCAGGGTCCTTGTAGAACAAGCATGGTATGAAAAGATAAACAATTGCTTCAGCAACTTCTTTACTGCTCACACAAAGTCATCAATGCTAACTATAACAAAACACTTCCGTGAGATATTTTTAAATATCCAAAATATACATTTTAGAATGTGGAAGGCACAATTCTATCACAGAATAACAACAGAAACCTAAGAGCGATTGGGTAACCAGTGTCTCTTGCAAGAAAAAAACTATCACAGTTTTTTTCTGAAAATGACAAGTTGTTTACTTGTGGAAAGCTTATTAAGTTTGAGAAAGAAAAACAAGTTGCAATATGTTGATGAAGTTATTGTAAGAATAACCAAGGGATCCTGCTAAAAGCTGTTATTTTATCCTAAAACTTTGAAGAAAATCTAGGCCATATGAAGTGTGGTAAAAGAGCAAATGATAGGTTAAAGACCTAAAATTTGTGGATGTCCTAAGTCTTTCAGTGTGTCCTGCCCTCCTTCAGAGGGACTTATTCAAACAGGAAATTTACAAAATAGCATCTCTCAATCTCTTTCCCTTCTCTTTATTTGTAATTTAACTGAGAAGAAAATCCTTTTCTTCATGAAATATCTTAAACAGGAAGTTCTGACTCAAGATAGTATTAGATATCCTTTAATATTTTTTCTTACAATAATTCAAGAAGCTGTAATAACAAATAGCTGTTTGTCCTATTCAGTGTAATAATAGCTCATGTAAACTATAAATAAAAACACTACACATCTTGATTAATTTATAAAAATATAAGGAGGAAGTATGCAAATAACTATCATATATGACAGCATAATTGCTTGGCATTTTCCATAAAATAAACAAGAAGATTTCATTCTTTTGTTTTCTTTGGTTATTTATGTTTCTTCCACCCAAAGCAAGAATCATACCCCTAGACCAACGATTATTTATTTTTTCCCAGTGCTCAGAATCTAACTCAAGGATCCCTCCACACTACATAAGCACTCTTAGCACTTGGGTACACCTAGTCCCTCATAATAAGAGCCCAAAGAGCTGGATCCATATCCAGCATGAACAAAGAAATATGTAAAGTTATATTACTGGGAAGCTTAGATTTCTTTCCTTAAAATAATTTATTTTAGGAACAGGAAGATAGCTTAGTGGTATAAGTGCCTTCCTGGAAAGTGCAAGGTCCTGAGTTTGATCCCCAGTACCTAATAATAATAATAATAATTTATTTCAATAGCTATTGTAAAATATATAGTCAAGCATTTTAATAAAACATTCAAACACCAAGTATATAGTATTGCTTAGAATGTACAGAAAATTAAAACAGCCTTTGTCAGAGCTGGTGAGATGAAGCTAGTTTAGCAGACTAAGTGCCTGGTTAGGCAAGCACAGGGGCAGGTTAGATCCCCAGCACCACATGCCTTGCTGGCCCCGCCCCGCAGGCGTACTGAGCTAGCCACCAAGACTTGGCTGGTGGTGCATGCCTGCAATCCCAGCGCTGGGGAGCCTGAAAACAGAAGGATCACTACAAGTCCAAGCTGCAAGACCCTGTACCAAATACAATAAATAAATAAATAAATAAATAAATAAATAAATAAATAAAATCAATCCTTTGTCAAGTCAAGGGAATGTGAACCAAATTCTTGAAAATTTCCAAATCATTTTATACTTGACAAATTTAAGAATTCCACTTGTTATGAAAATGTGACATTTTTGATGTGATATTACACATTAAAAAATTATCAAAGAGAAGAGACCTTGGTGATTTTAAAAGGATTAAATTACTGAAACTGAAGTTCTCTGTAAAGGAAAAGTAAATTAGGAAAAATAACTGTGGTAATTAAAAATAAAATTTCCATCAGGAAACCTTTTCAATATGATTCTCTTAAATCTAGCAGACCTACAAGAATAAGGTTTTCTGTCAGTTCTTTTACTACCTTGCTACAAATACCATTGCCACATTCAGTGGAGAACTCACCATCTTCACCACTCTCTTAGCTTCCTCTCGCATTCTTGAACTCAGGACCTCATGCTTGCCAGCCTTCCTCTCCCATTCTTACCCAACTCTCAGTTTGTGTCCTCTCAATACCACACTGCCTCGTCAGTCCTGAAATTGACTGTGCTGTTTCTACCTTTGGACCTTAACGGAATTCTTTCTTGTGGCTCAATCACTTCATCAAGAAAATTACTATTTATCCTAGAGAAGCCTGAAATAAATAGCACATCACCTCTTTCTCTCCTTTTCTCTGAACTTCTTTTCCCTAATAGTTTCTTTCATGTTTTTTCTATATCCTTCTCTGTCCCACTGAATATGCATCACTGGACATACCATCAGCTTTCAGCTACTTATGTTTCTGGCCTTCCTTATCTGAATACAAATACATAACACAGCCAAAACATATTAACCTTTGCCAATGCACACACCTTAGAGGGAGTTGGACTATAATCACCAAGTTCAAAGCCTCTGATCAGGGTCAGGGAGATGTCTCAGTAGAATAAGTACTTGCCTGGCAAGGACAAGGGCCTGAGTTCAATCCCCAATCCCAGTTCAAAAAAAAAACAACAACTCTGATCACCTCCTTTCATATCTGTTTCTTTTTAGTACAATGTCCATCAACTTTATAATACTGTATCATCTTCTGAGGTCCATAGTCCCACTATGTGAAAAGAAGTTTCCCAGAAAAACAAAGTTACAAACATATATTTAGCAGCATTTAGATTAAATAGGATTTCAAGGGATTGCATGAGAGCTCTTTATATCATTGCTTCTATGGGAAAATGTACTTTGAATTTCAAACACCCTATAATTTTCCATACTTCAAGATTTAAGCAGCCTATAATTTGGGGAAAACAATATATTTTAAGCTAGGGAAATGGCACATTAATATCCCCGTGGTTGGAATTAAAATAGCATTTATTTATGTAATCATTGCTTAATTTTTATCCTCATTACAATGAAATCCCTAAAAAATGTAAGAACCTTGCAAGTTTTCCATCCCCACTAAATATTCTAAGCACATATCAGATACCTAACTATGTGTGAAAGAATAAAAGTAAAACATGAGAAAATGAAAACAGAGTGCTATAAATTTTATCTTAAAATTTTTATAATATTATAACAGATTTACTGCCATTTCTACTGAAATAACTACAAATCTGTATCTTTTTGGAAATCTGCCTTGTCTAAGGTCTCATTTCCAACACCTTTAAAACACCTCCAACAGAACTTGACAATGTATAAGAAAGTTTATATTCATCAAACTTCCTGCAAATTAAGCACTTTTTACCTTTCTTGGAAACTGTAGAGAAGAGAATATTAAAATCATAATCTCTTAGGCAGATATTATAAACATAACTGTCGACAAAATTATCCTCTTCTCTGTGTGAGAGAGGAGGATTCTGGTAGTTGTTACAGGTAGGATCTGAAAAGGCACAATGTCAGCTTGCTTTTAAAACACCTTAAGCTTGGGCCGGCCAAACAGCTCAGCAGATTAAAGCCCCTACTTAGGTCCGGGAGATGCCTCAATAGGATAAGTGCTTCCCTGGCAAGTGCAAGGGCCTGAGTTCAATCCC